ACGCACACACACACACACACGCACACACACACACACACACACACTCGCACACTCAAACACCTGTGATACTCTTGTCATACTTGAGATAATTTTATCAGATATTTTTTTATCTATTTTTTTTTCTATTAAAAATTTTCAGTTGTATTTATTTTATTTATATAGTATATATTTTTATTATAGTAATTTTGCCCTTTCTTTTACATTTCACTTTCTAATTTTATTTTGTGTTTATTTTGTAGTTTGTAAGCCCGTCATATTGTTCAGTTGATTGTAATATGAAAGCCATCTTGTTGTAATAATGATAGTGTAGTATCATTGCCAATATTTGTTTTTAATAATTAATCATTTTCATAAATATTTATTAGTTTTTTTAATATTTTCCATTTTTTAATTTCCATTTAGTTAAAGATTTAGTAATTTTGTTGTCTTTGTGATTTTTTTATTTTTTTTACATTTTTTTTAGTGTCTATGTAATTTTTTTAGTTTTAGTTAGGGTTAGTTTTAGTACTTCAAGGTAAACTAAATGAAAATAAGATGTGTTGCCTTTGCAACTAGCTACAGTAGGTTTGTTTTAGGGTTAGGTTTTATATTTTATTTTATTTTATGTTTTATATTTTATTTTATTTCAGTTAACTCGAAACGAAACACTGTTTTACTTTAAGATAATAATGATGGTAAAATAAAATAAAAAGGTTTTAGCACAATTTCATGTCAACTTGGAAATTCAGTCCAGTTAATTTCAGTGTTTCCTGAACGGATACTGCGGTACGTGTCCACATGCGTGGTACTGCGCACTAGTCTTGAGCAGATGTTGAGCAAGGCACTCTGATGATGATGTCACGTCTGCCGCTCCAGCTGTCTGGTGCCACGGTGACCCAGCTCTCAGTTGTTATGGGATGTACCGGTTCTGTTGCCGTGGTTACAGCAGCTGGTGTTTAGATGTGATCCATTAGCTGAAATAAACAGCTGTAAAACACAAACCCAGCACTGTGTCCTCAAGCGCTTCCCTTTCCTGTCCCGACACTAATATCATAATCAACATTCATAGTTCATACAGTGATGAAGTGTGTGTGTGTGTGTGTGTGTGTGTGTGACAGATAATAATGAGTGCAACACTGAACCGGGTCTCTGCGGTCCGAACGGAGTGTGTCAGAACAGCCCCGGCAGCTTCAACTGTGAGTGTCAGAGAGGATTCGCCCTTGACCCCAACGGACAGCACTGTGAAGGTACACACTCTCTCACACACACACACACACACACATATATGCACACACACATCAGAAGGTCTCACTAATATGGTGTGTGTGTGTGTGTGTGTCAGACATGGACGAGTGTGTGGGGAATCATCGCTGTCAGCACGGCTGTCAGAATCTGGTGGGCGGCTACAGATGCAGCTGTCCGCACGGATACCTGCAGCACTACCAGTGGAACCAGTGCGTCGGTGAGACACCTTCACCTGTCTGTCTGTCTGTCTGTCTGTCCGTCTCTCTCTCTGTCCGTCCGTCCGTCTGTCTGTATGTCTGTCTGTCTGTCCATCTGTCTTTCGCTCTGTCTGTCTGTCTCTCTGTCTGTCCATCTGTCTTTCTCTCTGTCTGTCTGTCTCTCTGTCTGTCCATCTGTCTTTCTGTCTGTCTGTCTCTCTGTCTGTCCATCTGTCTTTCTGTCTGTCCGTCCATCTGTCTGTCCATCTGTCTTTCTCTCCGTCTGTCTCTCTGTCTGTCTGTCTGTCTGTCTGTCCGTCCATCTGTCTGTCCATCTGTCTTTCTCTCCGTCTGTCTCTCTGTCTGTCTGTCTGTCTGTCTGTCCGTCCATCTGTCTGTCCATCTGTCTTTCTCTCCGTCTGTCTCTCTGTCTGTCTGTCTGTCTGTCTGTC